TGGTACCAGGGATTGAACTCACTACCTTGTGCTTGCCAGGCAGGCGCTTGTTCTCCTGAGCTATCTCCCCAGCTAAAAAAATGTTGAGAAGAAATAACATTTCTTTTAAAGTATAGATTAGATGTCATAAAAGGAAATGATAAACAACTGGCATTTAAAGTAGAATTTTAGGAAGTTTATGAACAGTAAAAAGTGGTCCTTATGTCCTATTTCAGCACTTGATTCCTCAAGGTTTCCTGATATAAAAACTACTGTGTGGCTTAAGCAAATAGTAATAGCAAATTGCAATGTTCATTTGTGGGGCATACTATAAATTTAAGCTTCATAGAGTTAACGTGACCTTTCAATGTGTTTTAACTAATGTTTGAATAAATCTTAACGGAAGACTGGTAGCTTATATGTTGCAGGTCCAGTTAACATATAAGCATTTATGCAGTGAACATATATTGAAGGGCTACCACTGTACTTAACTAATGGGGGACAGAATAAGAAGTCCTTTTCCTTTAGGATAGAAAGATAGAAAAATAATTGAGGATCTGTAAAGGGACGTGTGTGTTGGGTGCGCTGGTAGTATGAGAAAGAATGTCATTTCTGGAGAGGGGTTACAAGGAAGCTTTTAAGCCAGCTAAAGACTTGCTCAATAGACAGTAGCTGGGGGCCGGGGAGATGGCTCAGTGGAATAAGTGCTTCCCTGGCAAGCACAAGGGCCTGAGTTCAATCCCTGGTTCCGCAAAAAAAAAGGAAAAGGAAAAGAAATGGACAGTAGCTAACAGCGGAAGTCTGTATGTTGTGCTGTTACTATTTTGTTGGCCTTTTCTTTCCTTCTCATGTGTACGTGTTTGATATAGGGAATTGAATCTAGGACCTTGTATGTGCTAGGCAGACATTCTAACCCTGAGCTGTATAACCCCATCCCTCCTCCTTTTTATTGTTATTCTAGTTTGAGATGGTCTTACTGAATTACCCCAGCTAGCCTCAAACTTAGAATCATCCTGCCTGGAACTTTGCAATCTTAGTTGACCTTATCCCAGTGATTTAACAGTGTCAAGTTAATGGTGGCTATTACTTAGCAAAGACAAATACACATATTAAGTGACCTAAAGATTTTGTTTCACTCTGTAAAGTATAAGTTGCTACACCAAAAGGGTAATACATAGTTTTCAGGCAGAGCTGAAAGGTTTTGCTTCAGAAAGATGTTAAGATAACATGTGATTTTAAATCTGTATATCCAAGGTAATAAAAGCTCTGTGGGGAATGGAGACAAATTACTACTGAGAAGTAAGTGCTTTCCTGTTAAGCACAAGGTCCTGAATTCGATCCCCTGGCACCACCAAAAAACAAATTACTTCTGGGAACAAGAACATATGGATGAAAAAATGTTAACAGCCTTTAGCTATGGAATGAATACCTTTTAAAATTAACTTGTTAGGGCTGGTGAGATGGCTAAAGCACCTACTTAGAACAAGCTAAGCTAAGCAAAAGCACAGTGACAGTGGTTTAATCCCCAGCACCACATGCCAGCCAGCCCCGCCCCCTGGTGTGCTGAGCTGGCCACACACACACACAATAAATAAACAAATTTAAAAAAAAAATTAACTTGTTAGTATCATAGAAAAGATAGAAATATTTGGTAATTAGAAAGTCGAAACTTGGGGCTGGTGAGATGGCTCAGTGGTCTAAAGCACCTACTAAGAGCAAGCTTAGCAAAGCACAGGGACCTCGGTTCAATCCCCCAGCCCCACATGCCAGCCAGCCCCGCCCCCAGGTGGGCTGAGCTGGCCACACACACACACACACACACACAAATAAATAAATAAAATTAAAAAAAAAAAGAAAAAGAGGGTTATAAAAAAAAAAAAAAGAAAGTCGAAACTTGTACACAGGAGTATAAATAGCTAAAAGATACTATTTAAAAGTAAAATCTATTTGCGTAACATTGTATGCAGAGAACTCCCTAAAACTTAAAAGTCATTTGAATGTTATCAAAATGAAAAATATGTATACACTTCAACCCCTGTGATTTTATAAGATTTATACCCAGAACAATAAAAACACTAGTGTTAAGAATACATTTTTTTTAAAAAAAAAGAATACATAAACAAGGGCTCAGCCTGATAGCTCAGAGGACTAAAAGTGCCTGCTTAGGCAGAGCACAGCTGCCAGGGTTGGATCCCTGGCTGGCCATGCCAGCCTTGCGCGGGCCCCCCCCGCCTCACTGAGACACTGATTGAGACTATGCTTGGTGGTACATCCCTGTAATCCCAGGTTCGGGAGGCTGAAAACCGGAGAAATCTGATCCATGTAGTGAGACCCTGTAGACCTTGTCTTAAATACAGGGAAAAAATAAATGTATTGATTGCATTGGAAACATTACTGTCAGCAGGGTAATAACTTATTTTAGCTATTGAAAAGGTTACAGAGCTGAAGGTATAAACAGTGGTATAATATGTTCTTAGCTTGTGTGAATTCCTACATACGGATGTGGAAATGCATTTTTTTTTTTTTTTTGCTCCGAATGCCTTCAGGGCATGATTGGCTGGCTTGAGTTGTGGGGATCAAACTGCAGCAACCTGACCCTGACTGTTTTATTGAAGTGAACTGAGCTAAGGGGCAGGTCCCCTGGAAATGCATTTTTAAATGTCCCCACCCCTGAAAATAATAATTAGGATATTTGTCTTGACATAATTTCTAAGACATAAAGTTTGTTGTATCTGCAATCTAAACAACTACATGACGGGCAGCAATGTGCAATACAAAAACCATGGTTGAATACCTCTCATCTTAATCTTCTAAATATGTACTGATTCTGATGTCTTATCAATTGTTACTCTTCTCCATAAAATTTAAGAAGTAAAGACAACAGAATAGAAAAAATTAAGGTTTCTTGAAAGCAAGTGCTAACAATTTGTCCAGTCTTGCATAACTATTTGTTAATCTGAGCAACAGATCTGATGATAAAAATATAGATAATATAACAACCATTGTTAATTAGCTATTCTTGTTTTGAAAATCTGTATCATATATTGCTGTGTGTTATCCTGTTTTCTGCCTTTGTTTCTGTTTTTGCTTTTGTTTTCACTCTTCAAACTAAAATGTTTGTTAGAATGATGTGTTAATATGAGTATGGAAACAAAATTTTTTGTTTTTTGTTTTTACATACACAAGAAAATAAGCCTGACATAGTAGGTATTTTCTCTCTATATATAAAATGTGTTTAATGTTGTATGTAGCTACCAACAAAAGTCCACCCTGGGCAAACTAGTGACTTAGTAGTGTGTTCAGTTCCCAGAACAGGGGTAGGGAGGAGAGGAGAGAAGTAAAGTGAATACAGTGCCTCTAAGTTTGAGACAAGAAGTTATATACACCTGTATCTGCTGGCTTGGCAGCACCACTCCTCAATTCATGTGTGTATGATTAGAGGAAAAGTATGGAAATGGACCTTAGTAATAACATGTCATACTTGTGGGTGGTTTGTTTTTTTGGTTTTTTTTTGGTTTTTTTGGTTGGTTTTTGTTTGTTTGGTTGTTGTTTTTTCATTTTTGTTTTGTTTTGTTGGGTTTTGTATTGGCACTCCAACCCAGGGCCTTGCACACTGAGGTATACCATTGCCTCACCAGGCTATTTTAACTACTTTAATTTATTATACTTGTTAACAATTTAAATGATTCCAAATGTATTGCTTTTATAATTTGAATGCCACAAACAAGTTTTTCTGTTTAGTTGCACCTCTTTTTAATCATTGATACGGTAAGAATAAGTCAAGGGGCATTGTATGAAGTGTGATAGAAACATAGTAAATATTTAAAATTTTTAAAACAGTATTACAGTAAAAGACACTAGCATTAATCTCCCTCAGAATATTTTCCCTTGCTTCAAACATTTATTCCATTGTTCTTGGCTTTTCTAAAAGCAGTTCTGAAAGTCTTTGGTGCTTTTATAATGTGTGATCAAAAATATGGTGGCAGGCTGGGGCAGTAGCTCAGTGGTCTAAATGCCTGCCTGGCAAGTTCAAGGACTCAAGCTCGATCCCTAGTATTGCATGCCGTCCAGGCCCCAGAACTGGGTGTGATGGCACACACTTATAATCCCAGCACAGGGAGTCTGAGACAGGAGGATGGATCACTATGAATCCGAACTACATAGGGATACCCTGTAACAAATAAATAAAATTTTTAAATGTGGTGAGTGCTGCTGCCAAGTGCCATCAAACAGAAAAGCAAACAATGGCACTGCAACTTCTGGCTGTTCCCCAAGGTCAAAGGGAATATGAATAGTCATTCTTTTAAATCAGTTTATTAATATAGAGACAGACCTCATTTGAAGAAGCTCATGAACATCAAGTTCAGGAACTGCTTCAAAAAGTGGCAGGAATAATGGGATAAATGTCAAAGAAAGGAGGAAGTTATTTTGAGGAAGATTGATAGCGATGTTTTTTACTATAATAATTTTAAGTGTTTCACTAGATTTTGATCATACTTTACGCGTAGATATCCAGCAAAGTAGAGATAAATGGAAAATTTGGTTGTTTGCATTTAGTAGTGACTAATGTCTGTCATTGTGAATTTTAATTAAGCTGTGGGAATACTTGCAGAACATGTATGTTGGTTTTTATCACTTAACTCATTTATCTTTCCTTCCCTTTATTTTCAGATGATCAGTAGAATTGAATATGTGCATACAAAGAATTTTATACACAGAGACATTAAGCCAGATAACTTCCTAATGGGTATTGGGCGTCACTGTAATAAGGTTAGTCAAATGCTCTTTGCATGAAAGAGGAAAATATTGACAATTGCTTTGGTAAACTTTTCAATCTTAAAAAGCCATAGTAAATTCAATCTGCTATTGATAATTGCTTTCAAAGATTGTGCTAGAAGGATAATCGGCTAACTCTATTAACTTAGTAACTTGAAATATATTCTTTCCAACTTACCCAACCAACATTAGTTATCTATATGGAAATATTTAAAATTCCAAGGGCTTTATAAAAAATACAATCATCTGTATTAACTGTGGGAGAATTGTATCTATTTTTCATTCACTTGAATAGTGAAAACCTACATATATACTTTTCCTCCTGTATGCTAAAAAAAAAAAAACAGATTTTTAACTTTGGCTCTAAAGTGTGGGCTTTTGTAATATATGTGCTTGTGCCGGTGTGGCTACCACTGACCCATCTGTCACCATGGAGTTAACATTTGCTGAATGAGCATGGTTGATGCTGAGAATTCCTCAGTCCTTGGATTTGCGCATTTAAAAGGGTAACTTTTGGGCCTGCTTCAAAACTAGTTGACCGTGTCTTACTTGTGTGCCAAGTTGGGTGAGTCCCTCTACCTCCCTTAAAGGAAAATGTAGACAAGTGAAATGAACATTCATACAGCAAAAATAGTGCTAATTGGGGTCTCTGAGGATGGTTCAGTCTATGGGGTGGTTGGGTTGTGGTTAGTGACGCATGATTGCAGGTAGAAACTAATTATGTTGAAATTTTTTCTGCAATGATTAGTTTTATTGAGTGAATTGTTTTCTTTATCCATTCACTGTTGAGCTCGAGCAGACAGGCAGCATTGGCAATGCCCTAAGCATGTTATGATCTAATGATCTGATAGAAATTCTCAACTTCAGGACAACTTGGGGACTTTTTGTTTTTGTGGCTTTTTTGTTTTGTTTTGTTTTGTTTTTGGAAGGAAGAGTCACATTTGTTTTAGGGAATGTTTGGTGTTTTTAGACCCAGCTATAAATGTTTACCTTTGTTTGCCTGTATGAATGCCAACTTGGAGCCATTACCATTAGAATTGGTGTTGTTAATGTGTGAGATGTTAATGTTGGTCTTACTAAGTTTTAGGAATTAAAAATTTTTATTGAGCTTTTATTAATGAAAAGTGTTTCAATTTACATAGCAAATTATTTCCAAATTGCATTTTTAAAAATTACTAGGTAGCTTCTCCATTTGAAACATCCAGGTTCCTAATTGTTCTTATAAAACCTGGAGTTTAATTTTAAAAATTACTGATTCAATTTTTTGGACAATTTTGTCACTGTATCTCTTGTTCTAGCCATTTCCTAGCCCCCTCCATGTTTTCTTACCCCTAAAGAACCCAGTATTCCCATAGATTAGGATACCTGGCTGCATGTTGACAGTGCAGTACGTGGTATTTTGCTTTTTAAATGATGGCCTAGATTTTTTTTTCCTTCTTTGAGAAATCCTTGTGAGTCATGTAGTTGTATTGAGAAGTCCAAGACATTGGGTGGTGAAAGCTCTTAAGATGTGTCCTTGCCAACAAAAAAATTGTGTAGCTGCTTATTATTAGTTTCAAAGATAACTCAGGGTAGAAGATCACCTAAGATCTAAGTAATGAATGTTGCTTTTGAATATCTTAGGTTAGTGTTCTGTTTATGTTAGTTGGTTTTTAGTGTTTTCTGTATCATAGTTTGAAAAATGCCAGTTGTATGAGACTGGATCCTTTGGTCAGCTTGTTCTAGTAGTTTTCTATTTATTGGGGGAAAATTGGGAGGGGCTTTTGAGATCAAATTTTAAATTTCTTTCTTGGAAAATTGTTCTGAATTTGATATTTAGGAGTGGCCACTCCAATCTTAGTGAATTCGCTCATCTTTCCAGTAATCAGCCCTGCATGCTTTTGAAAATAAATTTTAAGGTGACTAAATGCCTTCTACCTCTTCCTTACTGAAGATTTTTCCCCCCTCCATACAATCTTTTTTGGGGAAAGGGCAGATTGTGGTGCCAACGATTATAGATCTAAATTCCCCATTTTTGATTTTAAAATTCAAGAGCCAAATGTCACCATTGCTATCCCTGTTTCAGGCAGTGACACAATATAGTGGCATTAAAAACCCTGGTATTCTCCAGAATTCAAATGTTCCTAAGCATGTGATTCTTATTTGGAAAACTGAGAAGCTACAGTGCTTGGTGGAAGAAGGATGGCATTTGGCTACCCTGTTCTTTCTCTAATGCCTCGGTGTTGCCTGTCTGCGCCGGCCATTGTTGCAATGTAAGCAATACTGTTTGATGCACTGCCACCCTCTATTGTCTGTTTAGTGTTTAGAATCTCCAGTGGGGAAGAGGAAAAGAAGCATGACTGTTAGTACTTCTCAGGACCCATCTTTCTCAGGATTAAACCAGGTCTGAAACTGTCTCCTATTCCAACCTCAATCCCAAATTCATGTGCTTTTCTTTTTTATTGCTTTATTTTTATTATTTTTTACTTTGTTTTAATTCTGGAGAATGTAGATCTTGCTCAAGCATCTCTTATGTTGGCATTATTCAGACATACTTGGCAAACATAACATTACTAAGATACTCCTTTGTGGCTTTTGCTTAAAACGTGTGAATTTTAGAGAAAACTTAAAAGAAAATAAGGGTGTTACCTTTTAGATCTCTTAATATCCATATGTGAAAATACTGTGATGGTCTAGTATTAATTCTTTATGTAGTGGTAAGCTTGAGAATAGTACTTAAGGTTTATTTGGAGTTGTAGAAATTTGCAATAGTACTGTAAAATGAATTTATTCTTCATTATCTCTTCTTCTGTAATGAATTTCAGGTAAGTATAGGTCACAGATTTTTCAGTCTGTAAATTCTCAGCTTCCACCAGATAGGTAAAGAGCATCACATGCTCTGAAACTAAAATATGTTAACAATATAGTAATTAAATACTTAAAACAAATGGTAGTTCATCATTAATAATATGTAATATAATTGAATGTATAACCTGGTGATCTAGATTTTGGTAGGCCAAAAATCATTGCAGGAATTCACTTCTGATTATTTAAAGTACAAGGTTCTCTTCAAGCTTTCTTTTACTTTTACATTTATTTATTTACTTACTGAGACAGGATCACACTATGTAGTTGGGACTGGCCTTGAACTCACCATGTAGTATAGGCTGCCCTCAAACTTTTTTTTCTTAATGTATTTGGTACAGGGTCTCACTGTGCAGCTCAGCCTCATAGTGATCCTCCTGTTTCAGCCTCCCACTGGGATTATAGGCGGGCACCACCACTCCTGTCTCAGTGGCCGGTTCATGTGCCCAGGGGCAGGGCCAGCATGGCATGTAGTACTAGGGATCAAACTCTGGTCCTTGACAGGCAGGTGCTTAGACTGCTGAGCTATCTCCACAGCCCTACCCTCAAACTCTTGACAATGCTGTTGACTCACTCAAGTGCTGGAATTACAGGTGTGTACCACCACACCCAACACTTAACAGATACTAGTTTGCCCCCCTCCCCATGATTGTTTTTGTGGTCCTGGGCTTTGAACTCATAGCCTTCACAGTGAGCTGTGTATATCCCCATCCCTTATGGTAGTTTAAAATTTTGAGGTAGGGTCTTGCTAAGTTCCCCAACTGGGCTTAAACTTGGTATCCTTCTGCCTCAGCCTCTACAGTGCTGGGATCATGTGTGTGTACCACTAAGCCTGGTACATGTATGAATTTTTTTAAATGAAGGAAAATAAATTTTTTTCAGTGTATAAATTTTTATGCTTTTGAGCAATTTTTTAAAAATTTAGTATATGCCAAAAATAAAGTGTTAGTATAAGTAATCAAAAGAAAAACAGTACTTGAAATAGTACTTTTTCATATATGTTTATCACCTGAGTAATAATTTAATCCTTTTTCATACTTCCCAGCCTTATTTCAGGGACTAGCTTTTGGTTTTAAAAAGGTCTCAGAAATTCAAGGGAAAGAAATGCCATGCCTTGTGACTAGATCTTGGTTGGGAATGAGATCAGATGGTAGATAAATAAGCACACTATAAGATAATAGAAAATTTCAAAACCATGGAGCTTCATTTTTTCTTGGCCTGTATAGTTCAGACTGTCCTCACAGCAATCCTCTTGTCTCAGCCTTAAAAGTGCTAGAATCAGGTGTGCATTACTACACCAGGCTCCTGTTTTCAGTATGAATCTGCAGAAGTTAATTTTTGTTTTGCTTACCAGAAGTGTATTTTGCTCATTTGAATATTGAATGAACTTCACTATTAAAATAAAATTCTTATTTTTACTTCTTAGTATTTTATGTCTCTGACTTTTCCATATTCCTAAAATGACTTGGTTGCTTAAGGCATTTGTTGTTTTTACTTAGCTTTTTTCATCTTATGTTTGTACTTTGCTAATAGTCCTTTTTAAAAAACATTAGAGCAAGTGAAAACTGGGATCATTGTTTACGAGGTAACAAATTCAACTGTTAGCGTTTATACTGTCCAGAATATAACCAAGGGTAGTTTAAAGTGCCTGGCTGAAATACGTGTTACTCACCTTTGTAAAGATGGTTCTTGGGGGTCCGGGGAGATGGCTCAGTGGAATAAGCGCTTCCCTGGCAAGCGTGAGGGCCTGAGTTCAAGCCCCGGTTCCGCCAAAAAAAAAAAAAAAAAAAAGATGGTTCTTGGTCAGATTGTTTTAACCTAAATCTTGCTGTATCTATTTTTGAAGCAAACTTCAACAGGATAGATGAATAAGTTGCCCAGCACATTATAAATTACAAACTGTAGCAGAGAGATCCAATAACCTAATGAAAAGAATTATAAAATGTAGGCATAATCTGAAAAGACCAGTAATTTAACCCAGGGTTATGTACCTACTCAGCCCTTTAATTCTTGTAGATAAGTCTTAATTACAACATAGTATAATAAGTAATATGATGAACACCCTAATTTTTAAGTGGTTTATTTTGCTTTTAATGGTAGGTAAATTAAAAATTTAAATTTTTTTTTTTAATTTTTATTTCCATTTTTATTTTATTTTTTTGTGGAACCAGGGATTGAACTCAGGCCCCTGTGCTTGCCAGGGAAATGCTTATTCCACTGAGCCATCTCCCTGGCCCCCCAAAATTTAAAATTTTTATCAAAAGTATAGGGGTTTTTCTTTAAAAAGTTTTGAATTCTAGAAAATGAAGTTGAATCACTTAGAAAAATTATTCTGTATTATAAAAGACCACCCGCTGCCTGTACAATATAAATGTAAAACTGATCATTTTAAAATACAAATTTTGTTTTTAGTTAGCTTATGTAAACTTAGTAGTAAGCACATCTTGGTGTGCTCTTTTAAGTTTTGTTTTTTTGTGTGTGTGGAACTGGGGATTAAACTCAGGCCTTCGTGCTTGCCAGGGAAGCGCTTATTCTACTGAGCCATCTCCTCGGCTCTTGAATTGTTCTATTTTCCAGGAGATGAACCTGATACATAATGTTAGTGCACAGTAGTGGAATGGCACATGCTACTTTATGGAAGTCTTTTTTGTTAGTTTATTAAAAAGAAAAACTCTTTGGTCTTGTTGGCCATCAGTCAGACTTTGAGGGTTGTCTTATTTTAGATAATGAGCCTTCTATTGGCATACTAAAGGGTGGCCTTTGTAGGAGGGAAGAGTTCCAGATAGCTTATGTCTAGATTTTGAAACATGATGCTTGTTTACCAGTAGTAACCGGATGTCAGATTTCATTGTGGCAGGCAGCACACCTGACAACTCTGCCATCAAGTGTGTATACATTTCTTTACTTATTTCATAAAGATAGGCTCCTGACCTGGAGCTTATGAAGTTGCGCACATAACAAGGATAACCTGTAGACTTAAGTGGGTTTTTATGGTTCTCTATTTTTTAATTTGGTTTGTTGGAGAAGACTAGTAATTGCTAGGTGTCTGTTGTTAAGTCTATTCAACTTACGATACTTTATTTTGATACGTTTGACCATATGGTATTTAATGATTTAGAAACAGTTTAATTGAATAAGATTGAAAACCTAATGTGTCTTTATTTCTCTTTTAAAGTTATTCCTTATTGATTTTGGTTTGGCCAAAAAGTACAGAGACAACAGGACAAGACAACACATACCATACAGAGAAGATAAAAACCTCACTGGCACTGCCCGATATGCTAGCATCAATGCACATCTTGGTATTGAACAGAGGTGAGTCTGAAAATTTAATGTGTTCATCACACCTATAACAAAAGCTAGATTTTTTTTTTTTCTTTTTTCTTTTTTTTTTTGGCCGTACCAGGGATCGAACTCGACATTTCACTTGCCAGGCAGGTGCTTATGCCACTGAGCTATATCCCCAATCCCCTAGAATGGGTTTTAAAATATTTTGGGTTTTTTAGAATGTCTAAGGCTCTCGGCTCAGGATCTAAAGCATATTTATTATTTGGGATTTTTTTGGTGGAACTGGGGATTGAACTCAGGGCCTTGCACTTGCCAGGGAAGCGCTTATTCTACTGAGCCATCTCCCCGGGCCCTAGTATTTGTTTTACCTGATGCTTTTAGCCTTTGCAGAAATAGCAATTATATATATATGAGATCTTTTTTTGCAGTACCAAGGATTGAGCTCAGGACCTGCACTTGCCAGGCAAGCGTGTATTCTGCTGAGCTATCTCCCCGGGCCCAGATCTTTTGCTTTCTTTGTTGAAGGTGATGGAAAGTTAAAAGCATTAAAACTATTTTTACATTCTTGGACTAGCCAGATAATTCAGTGGACTAAAACTCCTGCTTAGGTAGACGCAGGGTCCAGGGTTTGATCCCCAGCATGTTGTGCCTGCCCTGCCCCCAGGGCCTGCTGAGACAATGATTGAGACTGGGAGCATGGTGGTGCACGCCTGTAATCCCAGCACTTGAGAGGCTGAAAATTGGAGGATCACTATGAGTCCAATCTGTGTAGTAAGACCTTGTAGACCCTATACTAAATACATAAATAACAATAATAAAACTTTTTACATTCTTTTGCATATATGTGATTGAACTCACGCCCTTGCACTTGCCAGGGATGCGCTTATTCTACTGAGCTATCTCCCCAGCCCCTTTGCAACTAAATATAGTACTGATTATTTTAAATGCTGACATTGGATGTTTTATGATGTAGTAATGCAGGTTGAGTTTGGGGAAACAAGTGATTATTTTTACAGGGAAAGTACTAATAAGTACTTTATAGGAGAGTACTAATAAGCCAGAAGGAGATTGGTATACCATCTCCTGTTGTACTTTTTCACTTACAAATTAATAGAATGTAGTTTAAAGGAAAAAATTTCTAGTCTCTTCCTGTGTCTTCACTTGCATTCCGGCTTTTCAATTTCGCTTCATTGACTTTTCTTCCATTAAAAAACAGAAATAACAGCCAGGTATGATGGCACACAACTGTAATCCCAATGCACAGGAGGCTGAGGCAGGAGAAATGCTGTGAGTTTGAAGCCAGCCTGCACTACATAGCCTGTCACCACCCATGCATCCAGAATGAAAGAACAGGGGCTAGGGATATAGCTCAGTAGAATAAGCACTTGCAATGGCCTGAGTTCAATCCCTGGTTTTACCCCTACCCCCCCCAAAAAGAACAAATTGTATGCTTTTTGGGTTGGGAACTTTATGACTGTCATAGGTTAAACTACGATTTTGCCTTTTCTATATGCTAAAATATTAACCTATCTTTAAGTATGTTTTATTTATGGATATAGCTCAATAGTAGAGCACTTGGCCTCGCATATGCCAGGCCCTGAGTCTGATTATAAGTGTCACAAACAAATTATTTATTTGAATATATATTTATGTGTATATACATTCATATAGATGTTTAGCTTTAAAATGTGATTTCAACATCCCTAAAATATCTTCTTGGGGCCGGGGAGATAGCTCAATAGAAGGGCCTGAGTTCAATCCCCGGTTCTGAAAAGGAAAAAAAAAAAAATTCTTACATAGTTTGTTTTTTTTTTAATTAACCTTATTTAGAGTTGTTGAGCTAAATTTGTTGTTTATTTTTTAAATTTCTTGTTTAAACATTACATTTAGGATTATGCTCTTAAAATTTTAGGGGGCCGTGGAGATGGCTCAGTAGAATAAGCACTTGCGTGGCAAGCACAAGGGCCTGAGTTCAATCCCCAGTTCCACAAAAAATAAATAAAATTTTAGAGTTTGTGAGAAAAATCTGCTTAGAGGTAATTTATTATGATCTTTATATTGTAAAATAGATAGCTTCTTGATTAAGACATGAAATAATTCTCTTTGGGAAAATATTTTCTGCATATAATATTTGGCTTTTTTTTTTAATGTGTTATCCATTACAGTTTCTGTTTTAAATTACATTTTCTTTTCTAGTCGTCGAGATGACATGGAATCATTAGGATATGTTTTGATGTATTTTAATAGAACCAGCCTGCCATGGCAAGGACTCAAGGTAATCAGATCCCAATTACTAGAATTTTGTTTTTAAGAAAAAAATTAAGCTGGATCTGGAGTCTCAGCACTCAGGATGCTAATGGAAGGATCAAAGGCCCCATTAGGCTTGGTGGCACATGCCTATAATCCCAGCACTCAAGAAGCTGAGGCAGGAGGATCTTATGAGTTGGAGGCTGCCTAGGCTATACTGAGTTCAAGGGTAGCCTAAGCTACATAATGAAACCTGGTCTCAAAAAGGCAAAAATAATATTGGACCATGTCCTTTGTTTTGTCCCTTCCAAATCTATAGTATTTCTGATACTGAATTCACTTTAGTTTTGTCTTTTACTTGAAGAGAAAATCTGATTATTTTTACAAGAATTTAGTTGATTAAAGGATAATTTGTTTTGAGACAGTAAGTTAATAACCAATTGGTAATCACTAACTTTACCTACATGGAAGTCGATACGAATTAACAAAGGGCTCTTCTTTCTGAAGTGTAACCATTATGTTAAGGATGTGTAGGGCAAAACCTGCGCATTTAACCTGTACAATCATTCTAACGTTTTGTTCTGTGATAATGTCATAGAATTTAATGATTGTCTTTATCTTTTATTGGTCCATTAAAGGATGAAGGTACAAGGACTAAGCACTTTGACTATTTCTGATGCCCAATAAATATGTCTGAAATAGTCAGAGTACTTAGTTTTTATGAATAGCTTCATCTAGTTGAATTTTCTCTATTATGAAATCTCAGGGCTTAAACTTTGTCTACTATGTATCTATCTGTATATCTAATGAGTTAAACTATTAAGATTTTTCTCAGTAGTAGTGGTGAGTGTATCTTGTTCATTCTTTTTGTATAGGCTGCAACAAAAAAACAAAAATATGAAAAGATTAGTGAAAAGAAGATGTCCACTCCAGTTGAAGTTTTATGTAAGGTAAATATCTATGATGAGCATCACTTAATAAAAATACAAGATCAAAAAAAACTTTTTTTTTTACTTATCAGATCGGGACTTAATTATGTTAGGTAGCTGTTATTTTAAGTTTACATTTTGATTATTCTAAATATCTTTGGCAGTCAGTGGCTTAAACTGTGAATCATTTCAAATAAGTTTTTTTTTTCAACGTCTTTGCCTAATTAGAGCCTTAATTTGTAAAAACAGTGGAGGAAAATTAACAAAGCAAATACAATTTTCTGAAAGAGCCTTTCTGATCTATGAGAAGTTAAATGATCTTTCAACGTATACTGATGCCAGAAACGAGAAGATGTTAGCAGTTGTCCCATGAAAGAATACAGAAAGGGCAGACAGATCAGAGCAATCCAAAAATAGCAATTTTCCAGGGGCCAGCCAAATAGTTCAGCAGATTAAAGGGCCTGCTTAGGCAAATGCAGGGGCCCAGAGTTCGATCCCAGGCCTGCCCTGCTGGCCCTGCCCCTGGGGCATTGAGACAGCAATTGAGACTGGGTGTGGTGGTATGCACCTGTAATACCAGCTTGTGGGAAGCTGAACACAGGCGGATCACTACACCAGTCTACAGAGTGAGACCCTGGAGACTGTACTAAAATACCGAAAAAAGAGGCAGTTTTCCAATAATCGACAAATGTATGCAGCAATATGAATTGGGATTGTTTCTCTGATGTCTCATACTTCTTTTTGGTGGGGGGACAGAACTGGGGATTGAACTCAGGCCCTTGCACTTGCCAGGCAAGCGCTTATTCTACTGAGCTATCTCCCCAGCCCCCGTCTCATACTTCATAAAGAGACAAATAAGTTAGAATGAAGAAGTATGCCCCCCCCCCAAAAAAAAAAAAAACCCAGGGTCCTGAGTTTAGTCCTGGTACCACAAAAAAAGAATAGAGAAGTATTTGTATCCTGATAAATAACTAATTCCTCCATAGAGATAAGGCCATATGATCTTTAATGCAGTAATTCTGTACCTGAAAATACAGTGAAAATGTGTTGTATATTCACTGCTTTAGTTCTGGGTTTTCACTCACTGACAATAATAACACGACTACTTTATAACCAGTAAACCTGATTACTAAGTGTGGTTAGTATACAGTATTGGCAGGTGCAATCACTGTCCTGCCTTGACTCCCAGATACAAGAATTTCCTGGATCATGAGGTTGTGGGAAGAGTTTGCCTCCTATAACTTGTGTCCTCCACATTTGTGTTTACTCAGAGAGGGGATAATAGGGTTTTATTGTGTGTTGTAATGTTTTACATTGGTGATGGCATAATCCTCTTGTGACAGTAAAGCCTTAGAAGTCTTCAAAGGCTGGGGTTGGGGATTTACACACCTGTAACCCCACAACTTAGGAGGCCAACATAAGAAGATGACTGAGTTTGAGAGCATCCTGGTATACATAATGAGTTAAAGTCCAGCCTGTACTTCAGAGTGAGATCCTGTCTCAGAAGACAACAATCTTGGGCTGTCGAGATAGCTCGGGGGACTAAGCACCTTCTGCTGTTGGCAAACATGGCTGGGCGTGGTGGCATACATCTGTAATCCCAGTGCTGGGGAAGCTGAAAACAAGATCACTACGACTCTTGAGTTGTGTAGTGAGACCATGTACCAATACATAAAAAAGAAAAAAAGACAATAATCTTTGAGATATTTTTTAGACATTGATGAGGTAGTAAATCAACAAGTGGAATATCTAAATTATTTATGAACGTAGTACTATTTCCTCTAAATAGAAAAAGATACGTAATAGAGTGGGTAAAATAAACTTCATTGAAATGTTTTAGGATTTGGGGGGGGGGTTGGTACTAGAAATCAAACTCAGGGCCTCATGCTTGCCAGGCAGGTGCTGTGTGACATTTTTTTTTAAACCCAGACCATATCTATGAAGTAGTGAAACACCCCATTGAAACACATTTTTGGCTTGTAATTTATTTTCCTAATTTAAATTAAGATTTTGCTCTGTTTTAACTCTTAAACTTTTTAGGGGTTTCCTGCAGAATTTGCTATGTACTTAAACTATTGCCGTGGGCTGCGCTTTGAGGAAGCCCCGGATTACATGTACCTGAGGCAGCTATTTCGCATCCTTTTCAGGTCAGTTTTTAAGATATTGTCAAGACTGTAAACTTGAGTGAGGGAAATAGGTTAATTCTATTTAACTGTCCTGTTCAGGTAATTAGTAAACAATAATAAAAGTGGCTTAACCAGTATGAATCTAAGAGACAGCTGAATCAGTGTAGAGTCTACTGTTTATAAGATAATTTCAATTCTCATTACCTGTTAGTAAGGCTGGGTATGGTGGTGCACACCTATAATCAATCCCAGCTCTTGTGAGGCTGAGCCAGGAAAATCACCTCGAGTTCAAGGCTAGCCTGGGCTACATAGGGAGTTTGAAACCAGCCAAGACTGCATGGTGAGACCCTGTCTTGAAAAACAAAAACCAGACATTACCTAGTGGCTGTCAGTGCCTCATTGGAACTGTTAGCTTTAATATATAACCATATGCAGTACGCAGTTAAAATACCAGATAGTCATGGACTCAGCAGTCCAAAATCAGGGTTCCTTTAGCATACATGTAGATCAGGTTCTTAGTTGTAAGAAAGTAGAAATTGAGGTAATTCTTGAATTCCAGGAAGGGCTTACTAGGGTACCAGGGCACACATCTCCCTCACAAATTTGATCTCCTTACCTTCCATTACAAATATCCCTCTCGCTGAGTGACCCAGTGTTGTGGTTTTTCATTCCTACTCACCTGTCCTTTTTGAAGGAATAAAGAAATCTTCCATTTGAAAGAGGATGTCTTTTTGTCTAATATAGCAGACAAGAATGGTAATACCGAGTGACTTTCTACCCTCAATCATGTCATTGAAAAGGTTGGAATTATTTCATTGAAGAGTTAGTTATTTGTAGGGAGAGAAATCTTTAGATGCTACCATACTTGAAGAAATACTGATGTTCTAAAGAAATTTCCCCTGCTGTCATGAAGAATCAATAAGTAGGTTACTTAATGACAATAAAGGATTAACATGTAAATTTTCACTGCTGCGTGTGTGCCTCAGTTTGGGGCAGAAAGAACATGTAATTTTGTATTTTCCAGGACCTTGAATCACCAGTATGACTACACATTTGATTGGACAATGTTAAAGCAGAAAGCAGCGCAGCAGGCAGCCTCCTCCAGTGGGCAGGGTCAGCAGGCCCAAACCCCCACAGGCAAGCAAACTGACAAAACCAAGAGTAACATGAAAGGTTAGTAGCCAAGAACCAAGTGACGTTACAGGGAAAACAATTGAATACAAAATTGGGTAATTCATTCATTTATAACAGTGTTAGATCAAGGAGGTGGTTTTAAAATACATAAAAATTTGGCTCTATGTTTTAAAAAAAAGACGTCCTTGGAAAATTTGACTACTAACTTTAAACCCAAATGTCCTTGTTCATATATATATATATGTATATGTATTTGTATATACATATATGTGTGTATATTATTATATCATTTCTCTTGGGATTTTGGGTCATTTTTAACAACTGCATCTTTTTTACTCATTCATTAACCCTTTTCCAAAATAAACATTTGGTGTTGGGAATATGGTATTATATCAATCAATCCAAAATCCTAGACCTAACACTTGTTGATTTTTAATAATGAATCTGATTTGCCATGATATTTTGACTTCTTTCAGACTAACAGTGTTAAGAATTTTTTTGCATGTTAATACTTTAGCCTTTAAAAGAGGAAATTGTGGACATGTTCTTTTCAAGAGGGCAGAGTTTGGCATTTTCCATAAAGTATCTTCTCTGTTGAAGAGTATGTCATGTACGCCTAAATGTTCAGATAACTGTAAAGCTCATACATCTTTCCTAATCACAGAAGTCTCTTGTTTGCTGGTCAACTGATAGTACTTAATTTTAAAATACTGCAGGTATCGGGCTGTAGATGTTCAAAGTGGAGTTCACATGTGCAGTTAGGCACATGTGATGGAAGATAACGGACAAATGCAATTGAACTGTTCATCTACTTCCGTTTGTCATTCTTTGGTACTCTGCCGCTGTGGAGTAAAACTGTTAGGGTGCAGCTATTTCATAAGTCACTGTCACCATTCAGTTCAACTCTTGTTTCATGTTTTTATTTCATTTCCCCTTTCTGGGGCTTACCTCCTAATACGTGTGTACTTTCTGCAAGTGGTGAGGAGATAAGGTTTTTTTTTTTTTAGTTCTAATTATTTAATCTCTGATTGACTTCTCTAATCTGAACTTAGTCTTCATAAATGTTGATTATAATTATGGGATTGTATTTGAATAGATCCTAATCTCAGGATACATTTCAAGAAATACAGTATATGTGATACTATCCTCATTCCAGCAGCTCATCCATTAGAGATAAAATTTGAAACAATTTGTCTTCCTTGTTTCTGTATTTGGGAAGATTTAATGTAGTAGGAACCCTTTGATTAATAAATTTGAACTTGGGATAGCAAACATGCTTTCCCATTGGACTGTCTCTACACCTTAGTTGGGATTTGATGATTGCCTTTTACAAGTTTTAATTGTATATATCTGATTATAGGGCCATAAAATCGTAGTGAGATAGGTAGTGTCACTGAAGATTGGTTCTACTATTTAATTAAGACCAAATAATCTGTAAGCCAAGAATTTCTTCTACTTGACATGTACAGGTTATTTGCTTTTTTCACAAATGAAGCTATGTTTACCTAAAGCTAGATGCTGGAAAAATAAGATTATCTTGAGGTGCCATTTCTAAAACTAAAATTAGATTAAAATCTCCACTGGCCTATAATAGTTTACTTTAGGCATTCAGCAGCCTTCAAAAAGAATTACCTTATTTTGAACAAATTTCATTGTTCACTGTGTATTGCTTAATAAACTTATGTTGCTTTGCTCTTCCTTATCCAGGCTTGCTTTTTTTTTAAAAAAAAAAAAAAAAAACAGGGTCTTGCCATAGAGTTCAGGCTGACCTTGAAGAACTCGCAGTCTAGCCCAGGCTGGCTTCAACTTTCACCATTTTTTCTGCCTCAGCCTCCTCAAGTATTGGGATTATGGGTGTATACTACCACACCTAGCTTTATTTAGGTTTTAAAAGATGAGAAGTTAGATCCACCAAGTTAGTGTGTTTCTTTGTATTAAAAAAATATGTGTATGTAATTGTTTAATGCTATTTTGTATTGTAGATATTTTTCATAAATAATTTATGAACATTTAGTAATAGCATCACCAGATAGAGCAGTCATACAAATTATTAAATTAACTCATACAATTCTGAAGACTCTGATGTCTCAGCGAATAATCATATATTAATTACTTTTAGAGATGAATTTCTAAGGTCAGGTATGTGGCTTTGTAGTCCTAGTTACCTGGGATTCTGAAACAGCATGGTTACTCGAGCCCAGGATTTCAAGGCAGCCTGGGCAAAACAAGAGAAGGGATGTTTCAGGAAGGGATGGGGGGGTGTCCTAGGTAATAAATATATTTTGACTCCAAGCAGAATATTGGTTGCTACTAAAATATACCACTCTAGGGCTGGGGAGATAGGTCAGTGATTTAAGTGTCTACCTGGCAAGTGCAAGGACCCAGGTTCGATCGCCACCACCAGCATGCTGTCCTGCTAAGCTGGCCAACAAAACCAGGTGTGGGCGCATACCCCTGTAATCCCAACACTGATGAGGCTACAAGTCAGCTGCATAGTGAGACCGTATACCAAATGAATGAATGAATGAATGAATGAATGAATGAATGAATGACAAATATATGCCACTCCAGAGAATAAAAGTAACAAAATTATATTTTACTCTTCTTGAAAACATCTGTCTGTGTATAGAATTTACTGCTTAATCAAGTCCTAGAGACTGGGTGTGGTGGGGCATGCCTGTAATCCCAGGGCTTGGGAGGCTGAAAACAGAAGGGTCGGTCCAATATATGTAGTGAGACCTTGTAGACCCTGTACTAAATACATTAAAAAAAAATAATAATAATCAAGTCCTACACAGATTCCTTTGTATATGAACCCATGAAGATATAGCAGGCTTGAGATGACATCAAGTAAATATGGGAAAGCTAGTTCCCTAATTCTTTACCCCAGCACATTGTATAGGTTAGTTTTTATCTTAGTCTGTAATTTTTTTATTATTATTACATTTTTTAACTGTAGGGAAGGGTCTACTACAGGGTGTTCAGGGTCTCACTGCTAGATCTGACTTGTACTGATCCATCTGTTTTCAGCCTCCCAAGAGGTGGGAGGCTGACTCAATTGCAATCTCAGCAGGCCCCAGGAGCTGGGCCTGCTAGCAGGAGCTTTAATCCGCTGAGCTATTTGGCCAGCTCTTTAGAATGTAATTAATAGAGGTGTGTAAAAGCATAGTCTCTTAGGGTCCACTACAGTAGGCTTTTTTCTTAACTTATGGAGCTGAAGCATTTCAGTGATTCTTTGATCCAAGAAATCTTTTTAGTTGATGCTGAGAACACATTATTAGACTTTCCCACTTAAAAGTTTTAGAAGTTGCTTGCTTGTATGTAGTGACTTGTTTTTTAAAGGCTTGTATTTCATTCAGTTCAGTTTTTAAATGAATCTTCATAAGTAGATCTGTATTGTAGGTATACTTGTTATTGGGAAAATTCTGGTATTCACCAAGTACTGGTATTCACCAGTGTATTCTATGTGGGTTTCTTTTGTTTTGTTTTTTGGGGAACTAAGGATTGAACTCAGGCCCTTGCACTTGGCCAGGCAAGTGCTTATTCTACTGAGCCATTTTCCCAGCCCCTAGTCTATGTTTTGTTTTGTTTTGGCGGAACCGGGGATTGAACTCAGGCCCTTGCACTTGGCCAGGCAAGTGCTTATTCTACTGAGCCATTTTCCCAGCCCCTAGTCTATGTTTTGTTTTGTTTTGGCGGAACCGGGGATTGAACTCAGACCCTTGCGCTTGCCAGGGAAGCGTTTATTCCACTGAGCCATCTCCCCAGCCCCATGTTGTCTTAAAAGTAGTTCATATTATAATATATGAGCATATAAAATTGATCAAAAAAGTAATTATTAACTTTTACGTGGTTATTTTTTTTTCCGGAACCAGGGATTGAACTCAGGCTCTTGCGCTTGCCAGGGAAGCACTTATTCTAAGGAGCCATCTCCCCAACCTCCATGGTTATTTTTAAAATATATATTTAATGTTTCTTCCATGGAAAATTATAGTAAGTTGTTCCAGCAATTCATTCTAAAATGTTCAAAGAATAAACTTCAGTTTGTTTACGTAGAGGGGCTTATATAATAAACAGATTGCTGCCCTGATTACTTTTCTTTTTTTTTAATGTATTTGGTACAGGGTCTCATTATGCAGCTTAGACTCATAGTGATCCTGTTTTGAACCACCCCAGCGCTGAGATTAAAGGTGTGCATCACCATGCACAGATTCTTGTGGCTGTCTCAGCCCACCCAGGGATGGGACCAACATGGCATGTGGTACAGGGGATTGTGCTTGCCTAAAGAAGTACTTAGTCCTCTGAGCTATTTCGCAGGCCCTGCTTTTTTTTTTTTTTTTTTTTTTTTTTTTTTTTTTTTTTTTTTTTAAGGACAAAGGTGTATAGGGTCTCACTGCGTAGATCAGCTCATAGTGATCCTCCTGTTTACAGTCTCCTAAGTGCTGGGATTACAGGTGTGCGCCAGTCTTTCAATAATCTCCAGCTCAGCGTGCCCCTGGGACAGGGCCAGTACTGCAAGCCTGGGATCGAACTCCTGGCCCCTGTGTCTTCTCCCAAAGCAGGTCCTTTAATCCTCTGAACTATTTGGCCAGCCCCTACTTTTCTTTAGTATGTTTTAAATATTACATTCCAAGGAGCTGGGGAGATCCATAAGCACCTGTCTGGTGAGCGCAAGGTCCTGAGTTCATTTCCTGGTACTGCAGTCCATCCGTTAATAAATGCTACATTCCAAAGCCCATCAAAAGACCAAGAAAACAGCTTTTCTCCCAATACTCATTAATTATCTGTACAAGTTTGTCAGTGCTGTAATGCCACAGATTTTAATTTGTGAAATCCCATTGTTTCAGCAGTATTGATAGTAGTAAAAGTAAAGAAAGTAGTTGTAGGACATTTAAAATGGTGGCATGCATATTGGTAATCCCAGGTTATATATCTATAATCCCAGACTTTTGGGAGGCTGAGGCTGTAGGAATGCAAGTTCAAGAATCACAAGACCCTCTCTCAAAAAGATAAAAAGGATAACCATCATCCTCTAGATTAGTTGACCATTTCTTTAGTTGTGGGCAGAAGTGGGGGGAAATTACAGAAGTAGTGAAGCCAAAGGTGAATCTTTATGTAATTATGTTTGCCACTCTAGTCATCTTAACTAATTTGCATACTGTGCCAACTATACATGTTAAACGTAACTATCATAATGATATAAATGATGTAAAAAATTGTTGACATTCAGAGCAGATTAGATATATTTTCTTATCACATTAATCCACCATGTCTATGGTCTTCCATAAATTACCTTCTAGTATGTACTGGGCTTTAAGTGTTATTTATGTCTGGCTTAACTTTTTCTGACTTCACCAATTGCTGCCAGGAACATGGCTGGTCACTTAGCAACGTAATCCAAGTCACAGGGGAGGACATTGAAATATCTGAAGATGATCTCTGAATACACTTACTCCAAAAGAAGTGCCAGTGAACTTCATCTCCTTACTGAAATCCTGAATTTTTGTCAGCTTTTTTCATTATGAACAGTAAAGCTGAAGAGAAAATAACCCAACAGGAAAACACAGATGAGTGTGCAAGAATTGATTTGTGATGACCTTGAGCTGGACCTATCAAATTTTTTGACATGTTCCGTTATCTGGATGACAGTACAATTTTCAGAAGACCTACAAGAGCAACAGTGTTTCAGTGGTGTATAATGCGGACCATCTACCTGTTTGGGAAGGATTCAGTAACAGGTATTTTGAAACTCATTAACTTCAAGAAATCATACTTTAGAATTATTATTTTTATTTTTTTATTTTTTTGGTGAGGATCAAACTCGGTACCTTGAGCTTACCTGGCAGGAGCTTATGCTGCTGAGCTGTCTCCCCAGCCCCAAGAATTAATTCTGTAGTAAGGAAGATAAGCAATCTAGATTGCCAGTCTGTTAATGTAGATTAGGATGATACAAACTTGCTATACTTAGTTGATTGTCTATTTTGGTACTGAAAAAGATTTTTCCAAAATTAATACTTGTGGTTTCTACAAGGAGGATATTACTGTAGTTTGTTTTTTTTTTTTTTAAACAGTGTTTACAACCATTCTGTTTTATTTTTTTTGTTTTTGTTTTTGCTGAACTGGGGATTGAACTCAGGGCCTTGCACTTGGCAGGGAAGCTCTTATTCCACTGAGCCATCTCCCCAGCCCTACAACCATTCTGATTCAAAATTCTCTGAACTTGGGCTGGTGAGATGGCTCAGTGGTCTAAAGCACCTACTTAGAACAAGCTTAACAAAGCACAGGGACCACGGTTCAATCCCCCAGCACCACATGCCAGCCAGCCCCGCCCCCTGGTGGGCTGAGCTGGCCACACACACACACACACACACACACACATAAATAAATAAATAAATAAAATAAATTAAAAAAAAAAAAAATTCTCTGAACTTAATTCTGTGCAACCAAAAGGCCACACAAAGCATATAAGTAAAGTTAGTTAATAGAAAGGAGGTTGTATAGTTAAAAACTCATCACAGATTTATAACACTACTACAATCTACCAGGCCTGGTGGCCCATGCCTGTAATCCCAGCACTTGGGAAGCTAAGGCAGGAGAATCACCAGGGTTTGAGGCCAGCCTAAATTACATAGTGAGACTGTCTCAAAAAAGCAGAGCAAAAATATTTACTACTACATAAATATATCATTAAACTAGTTTCTGGTTCTGTTTTTAATCGTATTTGAAAAGGATTCATAAATACTCCAATTTTTAGATTTCGGACTGAAGGACAGAATATTATTCTTATATAAAAATATCTTTTTAAGATTTAATGAGGGCTGGTGAGATGGCTCAGTGGTCTAAAGCACCTACTTAGAACAAGCTAAGCTAAGCAAAAGCACAGGGACAGCTGTTCAATCCCCCAGCACCACATGCCAGCCAGCCCCGCCCCCTGGTGGGCTGAGCTGGCCACACACACACACACACACACACACACACACACACACACACAAATAAAATTTAAAAAAAAAAGATTTAATGAGAAGGGCTGGTGAGACGGCTCAGTGGTCTAAAGCACCTACTTAGAACAAGTTTAGCAAAGCACAGGGACCGCGGTTCAATCCCCCAGCACCACATGCCAGCCAGCCTCGCCCCCTGGTGGGCTGAGCTGGACACACACACACACACACACACACACACACACACACACAAATAAAAATAAAAAAAAAAAAGAGTTAATGAGAATCTTAAATGTAGCTATTAACTTTTGAAATATCGTACTAGTCCTCAAGCTCTGTTTTAACTTGGGTTTTCTTTTCTTTTTTCTTTTCTTTTTTTTTTTTTGGTGGTGGTACTGGGGATTGAACTCAGAACCTTATGCTTGCCAGGCAAGCACTTATTCTACTGAGCTATCTCCCCAGCACCTGTTTTAACTTTTCTTTTCCCCTCTGTTTTAGGAATAAATGGATTCATCCCTCATTTTAAGATGTTACAGTGAAGATACATTCTTGAATTTTATAAGCCAGATTTTCTTCAGATTGGAAGATAAAAATGAAAGAAATGTTTATCAGAGCCCGAAGATTGAATATTGGATAGCTGCTGAATCTTCTTTTTGAAATTTATCTACTTCAGTATCTCTTTGGAAAATTCACTGAAGGAAACTGTTGGTCCTGGGCAGAACGTCCCTCCAGTGGCTCATCTGAAGAGTTAAATCTGGATTTGACTGCTGTATTCAGAATGTTGTTAAGCTGGCTTTTAGCCAATCTCTGAGAGAACTATAATCACTAGTTGACCTAGTGATTCTGAACAGATAGAATTCCTATTTAGAGCTTCCCCATTATTTAAAGCAAAAGCATTTTCTAGATGATGTAAAAGGTTTTCTTTTTAGTTTGTTTGGTGATAAGAGTTTTTGTTAATCACTTGGGAATATTCAACATAACAAATTATTCAGTACAATCAGATTATATAAGTAAGCTTCTGAAATTTTTCTTTTTAGCATATTTAAGTGTTGCAAAACTTGAAATCAAATCCTGATATGATAAGGGCTATTCCTATTTGCTAATTCATAATTTCTCAATTTACATAGCTTACTTCAGTTGATTTACCTAAGGCTTGGTTTTGTTTCTTTCCATTGTTGTTTGGTTTTAGTTTATTTGGGACCAGGTATAGTGCTCCACATCTGTAGTCCTGCCAGTCATAAAGCTGAGGCAAAAAGATTGAGAGTTCAAGGCAGTGTAAGCTACTTAGCAAGACCCTGTCATAAATAAGAGGTTACTTTGTTCATCTGGTTTAACGTGTGTAAGTACATAATATTCAGATGAAATACATTCTCAAAGTCATTTTCCATGTTTCACATTTGCTTTCTGTAAATTTAATACTCAGACAAGCACTATGGGGAAAAAAAAAAAAGTAAAGCCCTCATATCTTTGTCCATAAGGCTTAGTGCAATGTGTTTATCAAGATAAGCGAGGGTGATCATTTCTGTCCTAAATGAAAACTTTAACAAGAATGTATAAATGTGTTATTATTTTCAAAAAAAACCCAAGTCATAATTATAATAAGAAACAACAGGGATGTTTTTTGTAGCCACACAAAGCCCAAAGGAGATTAGCAATTATTAGAGAAAAGGAGCAGTTTGGTGTGGAAAACATGATTTGTGTTAAAAGAAGTTAGAGGGGCTGGTGAGATAGCTCAGTGGTCTAAAGTGCCTGCTTAGGCAAGCATTCAGGGACCATGGTTTGATCCCCAGTACCACATGCCATGCCAGCCCCACCCCCAGGGTGGGCTAAGCTGACCATAAAAAAAAAAAAGCTAGAGCTGCTAATTATTAAGTCGTTGATAACTTAACGGTTCAGAAGGGGGTGAAGGAAACATTTATGTCTCAAATGAGTATCTGTAGGTGAGGAGACAATGTATGTAGGATTTTCAGGTTAAGAGGCATATTGCCTCTTTGTGTATAGCCAAAAATAAAATGTGCAACTCTTTAAACACCTGCCTGGCAAGCGCAAAAAGTCCTCTTGAGTTTGATCACCAGTACCACCAAAAAAAAAAAAACAAACCTGCAGCTCTTAGTGCCTGCAAACTTTTATCCAGACCTGCTCTGTGAAGAAATCCTAAGGTCTGCTGGTAGGAGGAGGAGATAGGTACATACGGAGTGGAAGTCTTTTGAGACGTAAATAAAACCCCAAAGTATCATTTGTTTACAATGTTCGAATCAGTGACAAAACTTGTCTTTTTATTTATTTTTTGGCAGAACCGGGGATTGAACTCAGGCCCTTGCACTTGCCAGGCAAGCGCTTATTCTACTGAGCCATCTCCCCAGGCTCCTAAACTTCGTCTTTTTAATGTCTGCAGGTAGAAGTGAAGAAATTTTAAAATCTCTTTAAGAATTACATTTTTATGGCTGGGCAGATTGGTATGCACCTGTAGTCTTAGCACTCAAAAGTTGAGAGCCCATAACCCTGTTTCAAAATTTTTCCAGGGCTGGGGAGATAGCTCAGTAGAATAAGCGCTTGCCAGGGGCCTGAGCACAATCCCCACTTCCACCAAAACAAAAAATAAAATTATATTTAAGAAATAAAAAGGCTGCTAGGTGTGGTGGCACACCTCCCACCCCCCAACACCTTAAAGGGAGGCTGAGGCAGGAGTATCTTTTTGAGTTTGAGACCAGCCTGGGCTACAATGCGTGTCCAAGGCCATCCTGAGCTGCATAGTGAGACCCTATCTCAAAAAGACAAAATATAAAAAAGCCAAGGTTTTGTATATATAGCTCAGAGGACTTGGGCTCAATTCTTCAGTACTAAACAAGAAAATAAAAGTTTACATACTTGTATGATTAAAACTATGCTCTCTAATTAAAGTGCTCATTTGTCATGGCTTAAACAAATGTTTGTTCTGGAAACAGGATCTCACTATGTAGTGCAGGCTGGCCTTGAACTCGTTCATGTAGCTAACGTTGGCCTCAAATTCAGTGATCTCCCTCAGCTTCCCAAGTGTTGGGATTACAGTCATGTACCATCATGTCTAGTTTTGACCCAGTTTTTGAAAGCCTAATATGTTCTGTGTAGGAAAGAAGTAAACTGAACATACGCATTTGAATTACTAGTAATTTTTGAGATTTGATGCTGAGGTTTTAATTCAGTGTACACTACTCCTTAGGGTTTTAATTGTGGATTGATGTTCTGTTTTAGAAAGTTAAGCCTAGTGATTCTCAAATAGATAAAATGGGGTGAGCTGCTATATTACCTCAATTCTACATGGTTTCTCTATTGGATACAATTTTTCTTTTTTAAAAAGGGAAATTTTAACTTGGAATTTAATGTGCTTTTCTCTGTTTTGATTGTTTTTAATAGGTTTTTAAGCATGAATTGAAGAACAGAAGAAGCAGAGCAGATGATCGGAGCAGCATTTGTTTCTCCCCAAATCTAGAAATTTTAGTTCATATGTACACTAGCCAGTGGTTGTGGACAACCATTTACTTGGTGTAAAGGACTTAATTTCAGTTATAAACTGGCTCTGGGCAGCATTGCTGATGCTTTGTCTGGAGTTGTAGCCGCTGTA